GTGTGTGTGTGTGTGTGTGTTGTGTGTGTGGTGTGAATATTAACCTCTCCGATCGTGATTCGATCTCTCGCCGCAGTATACATATACATATATATATAAATAAATAAATATATATATATATATATATATATATATATATATATATATATATACATGTGTTGTGTAAATTTCTACATATATATACATATAAATAACATATATGTATATGTTGTGTGTATATATATATGTATATGTGTATATATATATATAATATATATATATATATATATATATATATATATATATACGTGTTGTGTGTGAGTTGTGGTGTGTGGTTGTGTTGTTGTGTATTATGTATGTATGTATGTAAATGTATGTATTCATGCATGTATACGTATGTGTATGGTACATACATTTTATATATATATATATGTCGTAAAGAATTTTCCATATACTAAATATTAAAATATAATGTTTCTAAAGTTACTGTACTGTTTAATAACAAAACTCAGGACAAATGGCATTTCAAATTTTCTAGCACAAGACATAGTCAGGAAACTTATTAACTTTTATCATAACCTCGGTAGTGGCGCCAACAAGGATTTTGAATTTAAAGTAAATCCCGAGAAAACCCGATTTCGACTAATTCAAATATGGGTGGCACAACTTAACGGTCTTGTGGCTCGTGGGGTGGACTGAAGGCCCGTCTGTTGAGTGTGTGCCAAATATACAACGGGCATAGAAACATTTTTAACCATTAGTATTTCAGTTTATAAATGAATGATAATAAACAACTGGCATATCATAATGTAAATCTTGATAATGAATATATTAATAAGAACCAAGCAATATTACCTATATATATATATATATATATATATATATATATATATATATATATATAATATATGATATATTAACCCTCTCCGATCGGGATTCGATCCCTCGCCGACGTTACATATATATATATATATATATATATATATATATATATATATATATATATATATATATATAACAAAAAAGCAGGACTAGTGTCATCTCCAAAGGTTACTGCAAACGCAACACCTCTCGCGCGACAGGAATCGAGTAAGCGGTAAACATTTATTAAGTTGTCAGATGCATTCTTCCTACTTTGGATATTTCATGCATAATCGTGTTTATATTGCACACTGTACAACCTACCATAAGATATCAAAAGCCATCTAGGATATTGTATTTCTGTACAATATTTCTGTACCAGTCGAAAAAATAACCAGTACTGTAAAACAACTAGCCGTCAACCGCGACAATTCCCATTACGTCACAGAAGTGGGTGGAGTTTAGTAGCCTGTCTCGCCTCCAATCACGTGACACCTTTAGGTGTCTCGACACGTTGCGCGACACCCTAATTGCCACTGGAAAAGATGGCATTGAGTCGAGACTCGACCCCATTCTATCATTATCTTTTCATTATTTTACTTGAACATAAGGTAATCGTTCCCTTCCTCCTAATCTTAATAATTTTCCTCTTTTACACTAAACTCTATTAATAAAAAATCCATTCGCAACCTATTCCTCGATACGACCAGAACTGATTCCTTTGACTACTTCCGTTGCTGTATCCACGGGCCAAAATGAATAAGTAAAGAACTGTTCCCTAACAACAAGGAACCGTAGCATGTTTTCCCCACGAATTTCCTAACCCTTTTCCCACCTATGTGTTCGGGATGAGACCAGGACATCGTCTGAATTATCAAAATTGAATAGTCAGGGATTCCATCGTTATGTTAATTCACTTACCAAGCATGACAATCAATCATATCAGGATAAAACACGACTTTTAACAGCTACACTCATCACGTCTATCTTTTGGGTGACACCAGGACATCCTCTGACCAGACGGTGACAATATCCCTGCATATTACCCACCCCTCCCGGAATTATTAACATTTAAACAAACAAGCCATTCATATATAGTCATTGTAACATTATTATGATTTACTCTATTTGTAATAACATTAAATTCTGGTATATCGATATGCCTTTAAGAATATGAAAATACGTAAACAAACATTTCAGTGGATTCAATATATCCTTAAAATCAGGACCAATGCATCTTTTAAATGTCGAATAAATAACGATCTCGATATATATATATATATATATATATATATATATA